ATGGCCAGAAAAAGGCCAGTCATCAGCCAATGGCTGGCCACTGTCCACTCTAAAAAAAAAGGGTGTCAAAAGGTGTATTCTTACACCCTTTGTCCCATCTAACACACCCCCAAACTTCGATTCGACATACAGCGCCCTACAGGCGAAAAGACGGCCCGAAAGATTACGAGGGGCTTGATAACCGTGTGGTACAACTTATAAAAATAGCTCATGTACGTTTTACTGAACACGAAAAAAATAATCCGGGTTTTCTTGGCCCTACTGTAAAAACTCGGTGTTTTCTTTATGTGGTCTTTGATACGTACCTTAGCTATTTAAAATGTTGTACCACACGGCTATCGAGCCCCTCGTAAAATGTTGGGCCCTCTGTTCGACTGTAGGGCACTGTACGTCGAATTGAAATTCTGGGGTGTATTAAATAGGACAAAGGGTGTAAGAATACACCTTTTGACACCCTTTTTTCTTGAGAGTGTCTGGCCAGTGGCCAAAGGACCATTGCCAAGCATTGGCCCATGATTGGCCAGGTCTGTGCTGCTTGGGAGGTTCCACATGAGCGTTGTGGGTTGTTTGAAATTCCCGCGCGAAGATATGCGGCTTTGATGTCATGACCCTACCGACCAATCAGGATTTCCTCCTCAGGCCAACGACATTGGCTGTTCTGCGACGCGATCTTCTTAACGCTATCGCGTTAAAATCATCAAATAGCAAGGGTGCTTATTTTCAAATTGAATTGACTGACATCTTGTCAAGAGCAAACCCCAAGAGTGAGGCTATGCAGTTTTATCCTGTATAAGAAAATGGACACTTGGGCAAACACTATTTTAGGCGATATTCGATCTGAGTGCGAAATTACGTATAGATTAGTGTGAACAATTTCAACTACTCCTTTCTGCATGACTCGTCGCATGCAACACGGTGCTCAGTGTAAACAATGTTTAGTTAGAAAAACAAGCATGTTCATTGCCGCTGAGTCTCTATAAAAGACAGACTGAAAGGAATTGTCCTAAATCTTTCGTGACAATTTGAAATTTGCATTGCTTTTAGCTCAGTTGCGTCGCCCTCACACGCACACACACACACACACAAACATACATACATACATACATACATACATGCATACATACATACATTCACATATATATATATATATATATATTGCGATATGTATTTTGTAAACCATAATTCATAACATTATTGGTGACGAAGTGCCCATGCCATGATTTTGTACGCTTTAATTAATTCCTTAGTTTCAAGATACAACCACGATTTAATTTTTAATACTACGACTCAAAATTGTACCAATCACGGATATTTTATGCGAGCTATCATACTTCGTGACATTTTGACACCGTGTAAATAGATCGGGTTGAACTTTGTAACTATACTTAAACACGAAAAAAGAACGGACAAAAAAGGGCAGTATAGCTATAAAGTTCAAGCTGATCTATTTACAACTATGCAACAACACGCTCAACTCCTTACGGTCTGACTTAACATTTTGATCCAAATAAATATATTTGACTGTGGTAAACAAAGGGATTTTGAGTCGTATGAACACGACGTTTTGTATGTTAATGTAGAGTTTTTTTTACTGTTGTGTCAAAATTATTAACGGAATTTCATACTTTTGGAACGTGAAGATAAAAGTTAATTTTAACGGACGTGAAAAGAAACTATCAAGTTGATCCTTTTACGGCGGAATTAGTGCCTATTGCCAGAACAGTGCAGAAAATATGTTCTCAATTTAGCTGTTCAACCCGGTTCGTATTGGTTTGAACCGGTTTGAACCGCTCTGAACCGTTATTTTTGCTCCCCGTAGCTGAACTCGAACTTAGCCGAAAGCCGTGAACCCGAACCGAACCGATAAACATATCGGTTCGACACTCTACCATCTACATCGCTTACTCTCCTGTTGGCGTCGGGTTGGTCTGGTCGCTTCGCTCAGTCCATCATCTGACAGGCTCAATCACGGTAGGCTCGAGATAGGTAAGGAGGGGAAACTAAAATAGGCGAGACGTCGCGATTTGTGGCAGTAGTTTCTTGGTGCCCCACAGGTTTCGTTGAGTGACGAAAGGAAAATATGTGTATGAAAATATCGGCTTCTGGAATCAATTTTCTGGTGAAATTTTTGTTATTTTGGTTTGATAATTTGGCAGCGTAAATAAATGTATACCTAAACTTGCTCAAGGCATGAGGATCTGCGACAACAAATATTGCTTACCAATTACGACAAAAAAAAAATCAGAATGTTCTGAAAATTATTTATGCGTAAACTACTAAAAATGAAATCCTCCCTCGAAGGCGCGACTCAAAATTAGCATAGCTCTGGCGTGCTATTGAGGCGATTCACGCGAAGCAGACCCCCTTTTCGCCTCATATATTCATACTGTGTGGAACGCGTTTGCGCCTAACACATTTCTCAACGTCTTTTCGAAGAGCGGTTGCGATAGGGGTGATGTTTATAGAATAAATTGTATACACACACAAAAAAAAAAAAGCCCGTCCATAGCTCAGAGTAAGAAAGCGTCGTTTCCGTTGATCCAATTTTTCTTTCTGTTTCCTCCGTTTTTTTTCTTCAAGAAATTGGAATGCTCAAGCTAATATTTCACAAAATATTTCAAGCGTGCTCACAAAAAAAAGGAAATTTTTTCTTTATGTCCTTTCTATTTTATTCTTATACAATTGTTGCCTACTGTTACTTGCCTCAGCGTTTTTCGGAGGGAGTAGGTTTCTTTCTTTCCTTCCGCCGCCGAACGTCCACTGCCCTGCCATCTGTACTTGGGGCATGTTGACGAAGGTCTGGATTACTTCGGCCATGGGTTTCGTCTTTGTTTGTCTCCTGCTACTTTTTTTTTATCTTTGCTCGGTGCGGGGTGTTAAGGGCAAATATTTGCTTTATTCGCAACGAAGTTCCGGATTGCACACAGTGAATGCTCCGGAAATACGACCGCTGCAGGCAGCTGGCCCATCACTGCGCGAAGCGTGCTTTACGGTCAGCATGAGCCGGACATTTTTGGTGTTTTCGCAATTTTTTTGACAGATAGAAAGCTGTCATAAAATCTACTATGCTGTCAAAAGGGTTAAATTGGGAAGCAGAGCAGAGGGCAAGAACATATGCTTCTGAATTCAACGCCTAAACAGAACAAACAAAAGACCGACAATATATTTACAATATCTGTGTAAAGCCGGGTACACCTAAATTTTTAATGTGAACTGCAGAATTATTTTTTTAAGAAAAGCGTAAAGGAGTGGACTGTCATGGTCGATTCATGAAAGAAGAAGAAAAAGCAGAGAGCTGCGCGAGGGGGGAGAAGAAAAAGAAAAAAAAGAAGTGAGAGAGATCGTCGAACGGTCTTCGGAGTGCAGCCATCGCAACGAACTGCCGGGCCTGGGCGCTTGGGTGCCATGACCCAAACCAGAACCAGTCAGCGAGTTGCGGGCTGAAGCAAGGCAACAGGAAGGCTGCCGGAGCTCCGTCGGTGAGAGGACACCAAGAAACCCGATCCCGAGATCCCTTCGCCGTGGCCAAAGCATCCATCAGCGTGGTGCCGACCAGGTCCGGGTTAGCCCAGCGATCGCCATTGGGAATTTCGGCGTCCGGAATCCAGGCTGCCGTTACCATCATCGAGAACTTGGTAACCACTATCCCGAACCCGGCAACTACATCCGCAACCCCTTGAGCATCTTCCGCCAACGGAAAAGACCTGAACTCAATCGAATATTGCTTTGTGTACATATCCCTCGATTCGGTTTATCTTCATGTTCCTTTGTTATTAGACACGCTTTTTCATTTTCTTCTCAATACAAAGTGCCTGGATTCAATTGGGTCTCGTATTCTTTTTCTTTACATAAATGATTATTTGAACGCTCCTTGCGTACCTCGTGACAAATATTGGCGTCCGCGACAGGACGAGACCTATTGAACTTGGGCAGCTTGTGTCTTACAAGTATTCCGTGAGCTGGTCAGACGTCAGTAGAAAATGGATTACAGAGCGATGCTTGACGTCGGAAAACAACTGGGGTTGCAGGGAGAGGGCTTGAGGAAATGGTTTGAAGAACAGCAAGCCCGAGAACGAAAAGAAAAGGACCTGGAGAGAGAGGAAAGAGCTGTCGAAAGAGTCGCCTTGAGAGAAAGGGCGGAGATTGAGGAACGAACACTTCAGCTTCGCATAAGATTAGCCGACAGCGGAGCGTCTGCAACCGCGGTAACCGATTCGAATGGAAACAGTGGCGAGAGAGTTAGCTCGAGTAGTCTTTGCCCTCGCAAGCTGATTCCCCCATTTGATGACCAGAGGGACGATCTCGATGCGTACCTTAAAATATTCGAGTGCATTGCCCGCGGGGAGGAGTGGCCACTACCAAAATGGGCAACAGCACTGAGTATGTGTCTTACTGGGGAAGCACTCAAGGTGTATGGGAGACTATCGCCCCAGGATTCTATGAACTATGAGGCAACTAAGAAAGCGCTTCTCGAGAGGTTTAGATTCACAACGGAGGGTTACCGGGAAAAGTTCCGAAAATCTAAGCCCGAGGAGGGAGAGACAGCTAGACAGTACGCAGCTCGGCTGCAGGGGTATTTCGACCGGTGGATGGAGGTCGGCGAGACTCCTGCTACCTATGAAGCCCTTCGGGATAGGGTGCTGGAAGAGCAATTTATTTCGCAATGTCACGCGAGGGTAGCCACCTTCCTGAAGGAAAGGAATTGTCGGAAGCTTGCGTCGATGGTGGAGACTGCGGATCGCTTTCTTGAAGCGCAGAAATTGAGAAGCCTTTTCTTTCTTGATTACGACACGAAGACGAGCGCATTTTCACCAAGTAGAAATCACGGAGATCAGCCACCGCCTATGAGGCCAAAGTGTTTTTTGTGTGGGCGCGTAGGTCATAAGGCTCCACAGTGTCGAAGTGGATTCAGGCATAAAATTCCGTTTTGTACAACATGCCAACGAGAGGGACATGAAACAAAAAGCTGTCCTCGAAAACGGCAAGATAAGCCGAGCGTCATGTGCTTTGTGGAACCCCCTCCTTTGCAGAAGGCGATGCCATATAACTTAGTAGAGGACTTAAACGCCGAGCAGAACGGCTACGAATTTGAGATGGTGAACGTCGTACAAGAAACCCGGGCGACTAGGGAGGTGGAAAATATGCCTGTTTTGAGCGGCCGATTGAACGGACAAGTGGTTAGCGTGCTACGTGACACCGGTAGCAACACGGTTATTACCCGACGCAGCTTGATACCAGATTCCCAGCTCACTGGAAAAATGGGGGTGGTGTGGCTTGTGGATGGAACGATTTTAAGCTTGCCGGAAGCCAAGATAAGCCTACGCTCCCCATATTTTACGGGAGACTTGCTCGTGAAATGTATGGAAGCCCCCCTTTACGACGTAATTATCGGAAATGTTGAGGGAGCACGAGGGGCTGACAAACCAAGCTACGAATGGGACACCGAGAGGAACCAAATGCCAGGAGGAGGAAAAGAATCTTCAAAAGAGAGGGAAGATGCGGTTCCGCACGCTGGTGAAATAAAGCAGCGGCGAATAGAGTGAAAGCAACGAAGGCGACTCCAACTACTAGCAAAGAAACTAGAATTGACATCGACTCTACAGAACTCAAGAGGCGGCAGAAAGAAGATGACACCTTGGAGGCGTGCCGAACCAAAGCTGGGCAAGTGCAAAGCACGAAGGACGGTTCTAAAATCAGCTTTTATTTCTCTAAGGGAGTTTTATGCCGTCGCTATGAACAGAAGGGTGGAAAGAGTTTCAAACAAGTGGTGGTACCAAAGACACTGCGAACCTACGTCCTCGAGATAGCACACGACAGTGTGTTGGCCGGACATCAGGGCATAAAACGAACTACTGACCGAGTGTTAGAAGCGTTTTACTGGCCAGGGATACAGGCCGATGTTAAGAGATTTGTGAAGTCATGTGATGCGTGCCAAAGGGCTGCACCGAAAGGAAGACTAAAGAAAGCGCCACTGGGCCGAATTCCCATTATTGACACCCCTTTCGAGAGGGCGGCCATAGACCTTATAGGTCCCCTCTCATCTACCTCAGAAAATGGAAATCGCTACATCCTGGCGAAGGTAGATTTCGCCACTAGGTACCCTGATGCCGTAGCGCTACCATCGTGCGATTCTCGCACTGTCGCAGAAGGATTATTAGAGATTTTTTCTCGAGTAGGGCTACCGAGGCAGATCTTGTCTGATCGAGGTGCTACCTTCACATCTGGACTGATGCAGGAGCTGACACAGTTATTGTCTATCCAGAAATTGCATACTACACCTTATCATCCTATGTGCAACGGATTAGTAGAAAGATATAATGGCACCCTGCGACAAATGCTCTCCAAGATGTGCCTGGAGAAGCCACGATCTTGGGATCGATACTTAGCGCCACTCCTATTCGCATACCGCGAAGTGCCTCAAGCCAGTCTGGGGTTTTCTCCGTTTGATCTAATCTACGGACGTCATGTTCGGGGACCGTTGACCCTGCTGAAGGAGATTTGGACGAGAGACGAGTTGGGAACTAATCTTAAGACGACTTACCACTACGTGTTTGACCTGCGCAGTCGACTTGGGCGAACGCTAGAGCTTGCCCACCAAAGCTTATCCTCGGCAAGAAAGGATCAGAAGAAGTTGTATGACAGAAGGACTGCAAGGAGGGCTCTGAAGGTAGGAGATCGCGTCCTACTCCTGGTCCGGACGAAAAAGAACACGCTTCTAATGCATTGGAAAGGCCCTTTCATCGTCGTGGGTAAAAGGAACAAGGTTGACTACGAGGTAGACCTTGGGCATACCACTAGAACATACCACATAAATATTCTAAAGCGGTACGAGGAACGCGAGACGACAAGTCAGACAAAGGAGCAAGTGTCCTCAATTAGAGCTGTAGAGGATACGTCGGCTGATCAGCAGCTTCCGTGTCTTGACCTGAGAAGTAAGCAGGGAGTAAGTGAAGTCGCGCTAGCCGACGATCTTAGCCAGAAGCAAAGGAGCGACGTTATGGACATCCTAGCGAAATATTCAAAAATATTTACGGATGTGCCGGGCCAAACAGATATCTTGGAATGTAAGCTGCAGCTGACCGCGCAGGAACCGGTGCATGCACCACAGTACCCGATTCCTTTCGCGATGGAGCGCGTGATCGAAGAGGAGGTAGGCGAGATGCTGAAGCTGGGCGTAATAGAAAAGTCAACATCTCCATACTGTTCACCATTGGTGCTTGTTAAGAAGCAGGACAAAACCTACCGTGTCTGTATCGACTTTCGTCGACTTAACGACATCTTGGTCTCAGATGCCGAACCGATTCCTAGGGTCGATGTTGTCTTTTCAGAAATAGGAAAAAAGACCTATTTCTCGAAATTGGATCTTTCAAAAGGATATTGGCAAATCCCGCTATCAGAAGACTCAAAAGAGAAGACTGCCTTCTGCACCTCTTCGGGCTTATACCAATTTAGGTACATGCCTTTTGGTATAAAAACTGCGTCAGCAATCTTCACACGGTTAATGAGAGAGGTGCTGCTCCGAATAGATGGTGTGCAACACTACATCGATGATGTCCTGATTGCGTCCAGCACCTGGGAAGAACACGCCTCCGTGCTTGAGCTAGTTTTGCGACGAATAGAACGTGCTAGGTTGACCATAAAGCCTAGCAAATGTGAGATCGGGATGAGGTACGTCACATTTCTTGGACATCGAGTAGGGGACAGTGAGCTTGCGCCAGTACCAGAAACCGTAGAAAAAATTGTGGGATCCAGGCGACCCACAACCAAGAAACAAGTTAGGTCATTTTTGGGGCTGGCCGGTTACTACCGTCAGTTCATTCCCAATTACGCACAGAAGGCTCTGCCTCTCGTCGAGTTGACAAAAAAGAAGGAACCCAACAACGTCCGTTGGACCAGCAAACAAGAGCTTGCCTTCCAGGAACTGAAGCGAGAGCTCTCAAAAGGACCAATTCTCAAGGCTCCTGACCTGACAAAGACATTCATCCTTCGTACAGACGCGTCAGATAGCTGCTTGGGCGCTATGTTGATGTAGAAACATTCAACGCTCCTACATCCTGTTGCTTGTGCCAGCAGAAAGTTGATGCCAAGGGAAATGAACTATCCTACCATCGAAAGGGAAGCCTTAGCACTGGTCTGGGCATTCAAAAATTCCACATCTATTTGTATGGCAAAGAATTTATCGTTCAAACGGATCACCAGCCCCTACAATATCTTCGCAAAATGAAAACGTCAAATAGTAGAATTTTGCGGTGGAGTCTACTTTTGCAAGAGTACGAGTTTATAGTTCAGTGCATTAAGGGGTCGAAAATGTCGGAGGGGATTACTTAAGCCGTATTTGATGTGGAATTGATTGGTTTACCGTGGCTCTTAGTTCTGATTGCAGAAGGATGAGAGGAATGATCTCGTTTTGAACGTTTTGTCGTGGGGAAAAATGGATACACCGACGACCCTTCAACTGGACGCCAGCCCGCGGTTGGTGTGCAGAATCGACTCATGTTTATGTCTTTTTCTTTCTTTTGTTTCGTTGGTGTGTGTCTGGTAAAGGGGGGAAAGAAAAAACTTTGGTGGGGGGCTATTGTCATGGTCGATTTATGAAAGAAGAAGAAAAAGCGGAGAGCTGCGCGAGGGGGGAGAAGAAAAAGAAAAAAAAAAGTGAGAGAGATCGTCGAACGGTCGTCGGAGTGCAGCCATCGCGACGAACTGCCGGGCCTGGGCGCTTGGGTGCCATGACCCAAACCAGAACCAGTCAGCGAGTTGCGGGCTGAAGCAAGGCAACAGGAAGGCTGCCGGAGATCCGTCGGTGAGAGGACACTGTGGTATCTGGAGTAACAGGCCGATGGGGGTCTTCGCTGGCACATCTTTATTGCAGGACTACCGGAGTACGACACATAGTCACGGGCGTGAGAGAGCGGCAGGATCGCAGCGGGTGGTGCAAACGGTGCGCTGGCTCAGATAGATATGGCGCCCCGGAACAGTGGCGCGAGACGCACGAGCGCGCGCTAGCTGTTGCCCGCTTATTGTGTCACCCATACAACACTCCCCCACACTTAGTTCAGCACAGTAATACCATTCGACGGCGTTCCAGTGCAATACTCACAAAGTAACACGATATGACAATTTAACAAAACACGAGAATAATTGAAGTTCTGGAAAGTACAAAGTACAGACATACTAAATACAAAATAATTACAGTTCTGAAAAACAGAAAGTCCTCGTCTTTTTCTCTTCCTTCTCAAGGCGAAAACCTATTAGGCGCACGCCGTTGCCGTTCGGGATACCGGCGCTGAATTTCTTGCGGCTGGGCTGGGGAACGACCGGAGACTGGAGTTGATCCCATGTCTTGTCCCTCTACCACCGGTGACCCAACTGGAGGCCGCTCGTTCACGAGTCCCCCTTGCCCTGGGGTTGGCGATGATGGCAGGACACTCGGTATCAGCAAACCGCCTTCCTCCTCCTCTGGGGTAGAGCTCTCCCGCAACCGCAGGTGGTCTTGGTGTCGCCGCCACACGAAGGTCCCCCGCGGTGTGGTCACGCGAAGCCTGTAGGAGACCGGTCCGGATCTAGCCATGACGACTCCGTGCAACCACCTCTCACCCGGCCGGAAGTTCTTGACGTACACCTTATCACCCGGCACGAAGTGTCGGTGTTTGCCACTGTGCTTCACCTGTAGCACGTCCTGCTTGCGGTGAACAGTTTCCTCTGCAGAGGGTCGCAGTCTGTCGAGACGGGTAGTGAGCCGCCGCCCAAGCAGCAACTCCGCAGGACTCTGAAGGGTTGTGGCGTGCGGTGTGTTTCTGTAAGCTAACAAGAAACTTGCTAGTCGACGGGACAGAGGCCGGCCCGGCATCTCTTTTCGTAAGGCCTCCTTCAGGGTGCGGATGAAACGCTCAGCCAGCCCATTACTTGATGGATGGTAGGGGGCGGTCCTGACGTGCCTCACACCGTTCTCTCGCAAGAAAATCTGAAATTCTTGGGAACAAAATTGGGGGCCATTGTCACTGACAACAACATCTGGCAGACCGAAATGACTAAACAGCTCCCTCAGCTTTTCAATAGTTGCTTCGGCCGATGTGCTGTTCATCACAAAAACCTCGGGCCACTTGGAGTGGGAGTCGACGCTCACCAGAAAATGACGGCCCTGGAAAGGTCCCGCAAAATCCAAGTGCAGCCTTTGCCATGGACGAGTTGGCCAGGACCACGGATGCAGCGGGGCTGGACCTGGAAGACTCTGCTGCTGTTGGCAGGTATCACACGACCTGACGCGATATTCAATATCCGCATCGACCTCCGGCCACCATACATAGCTGCGTGCCAGTTCTTTCATCCTTACGATTCCAGGATGCCCTTCATGCAGCTCGTCCAGTACGCGTTCGCGCAGTCCCTTCGGGATCACAACCCTCATTCCCCACAAAAGGCAATTCTGGTGCCACGTCAGCTCGCTTCTTCTTGCAGAGTAACGCTTCAGACCATCTTCTACTTTTGCGGGCCACGCACCGGCAAGGAACCTTGCCACTTGACAGAGCTCTTTATCTTTTGCTGTAAATTGTGCGATCTCTTGGCTGCTTACCGGAAAAGACTGCAGGCGGAGACTGAGAAACGCCGCGACGTCATCCTCGTAGTCTTCATCCTGAAACCCAGGAACTGGAAGTCGTGACAAGCAGTCCGCCTCCACGTTGAGTCGACCCGGTCGGTAAACCAATCGGTACTGATAGGCGGAAAGGGTAATAGCCCATCTCTGCAGACGTGCGGCAGCAATGCTCGGAATTCCCGTCTTTAAACCAAGAATGGTTTGCAACGGTTCGTGATCAGTGACCAACACGAAGGATCGTCCAAACAAGTAGATGTGAAATTTCTTCACGCCAAACACAATAGCCAGTGCCTCCTTGTTGGCTGTAGTTCTTTTCACTCGATGTCAAGGTTCTCGACGCAAACGCGATAGGCCGTGTGTCGCCGTTGGAGTACACCCTGGACAGGACGGCTCCGAGACCGTATGCCGAGGCATCACATGACACCTGAAGGTCTGCCTTGGGGTCGTAGTGTGCCAGGACAGGTGCGTCAACCAGAAGCCTCTTCACCATGTTAAAAGCGTCTTGACAGCGCTTGCTCCAGGTCCAGACGACATCTTTTCTTAGTAGCTCGTTCAGCGGTGCTATTGTGGTCGAGAGGTCTGGGAGGAACTTTCCGTAGAATGTCACCATTCCCAAAAACGACCGTAACTGTTTTGAGTCTTGCGGTTGAGGTGCATCGAGGATCGCTTGCACACTTTCTGCCAACACAGCTACCCCTTGCTCGCCGACTTGGTGCCCCAGGAACTTCAAACTTGCCTTCAAGAACTCACACTTTTCTTTCTTGACTCGGACGCCCTTGTCACTCAGTTTCTTTAGGACTTGCTCCAAATTCTTCAGGTGATCCCCGGCGGTCTTCCCTGTTACCAGGATATCGTCGAGATAGCAGGTTACCCCTTGAATTCCCGCCAGCAAGCTGTCCATTATCTTTTGAAACAGTGCTGGAGCTGAAGCGATCCCAAACGCCAAACGCTTGACGCGGAAGAGACCCTTGTGCGTGTTGATTGTCAGATAGGGTTGTGACTCAGGGTGGACCGGAACTTGCTGGTATGCACGACTTAAGTCTATTTTCGAGAAAACAGTCGCCCCAGCTACCGTTGCTAGAATATCTTCCAACCTTGGCAACGGGTACTGCTCCACGTCCAGGCAAGGGTTTACCGTTGTTTTGTAGTCCCCGCAAAGGCGTACAGACCCATCCTTCTTCAAAACCGGGACAACTGGTGTAGCGTAGTCACTATGGGCCACCGCTTCAATGACACCTGTCACCTCCAGTCTCTTTAGCTCTTCTTCTACAGCTGGCTTCAGGGCGAACGGCATACTTCTAGCTTTCAGAAACTTTGGACTCGCACCTTCCCTTAAGCTTAGCCGAGCCTCTTCCCCTCGCATGCATCCGAGCTCGTCCTTGAACACATCCTGGTAGCGTATTAGGATGTCTTGGAGAGACGCTTTTACATCAACGCTGACCGCGTTTAGCGATCCCAAGTCAAACTTGAGCTTGTAGACCCAGTCTCTGCCAATCAAAGGTGGCCCATCTTCTCCCAGTACGTGAAGCGGAAGTTTTTCTTTGAAGTCTCGGTACTCTACGTCCACCGTCGCCACTCCTTTTGGCTTGACACGCTCGCCGGTGTACGTGCGCAGTATTAGTGACGCCGGAGACAGCTCTGTGCGAGGAAACAACGATTGGAACTGGCGTTTCGAAATGATAGACACGGCAGCACCGGTGTCTAGTTCCATCTGAAGAGGAGCGTTCCCGACCTTGAGCGTGTAGTAGAACGGCGCATTCATGTTTCTGTCTTGAAGCCCGTATATCGCTTCACTCTTTTCTTCCTCAGCGGAGAAGTTTCTGAACTGTTTTGCTCTGCCTGGTGTATTGGCCAGTGATGCTTTACAGAAACGTTGGAAGTGACCCTCACGGTTGCAGCGATAACAAATAGTGTTACGGTGCGGGCATGACGAGGCAATGTGCTTAGGGGACCCACAACGGAAACATTTGTCCTGAGCCCCCACTACCGCTTTCGGTTTCACCGCCGTCAGTTTCTGCAGTTCGAGTTGGTCGTTGTCCGCCTTATTATGACACGCCTGCACATTCATGGTGGCTCTTTCAATAGTTAACGCTTTTTCCACAGCTTTCTTGAATGTCAGGCTCTCATCTTCGGCAAACAAAACTCTCTGAATGTCAACACGACTTAGACCGCTGACGAATCTGTCTCTGAGGGTTTCTTCCAGGTTACTTCCAAAATTGCACGTCTGTGTCATTCTTTTGAGCTCGGCGACATATTTTCCGACCGATTCCCCTTCCTGTTGTTCTCTCTTATGGAACGTTGCCCTTTCTGCGATGACCGACGGCCTCGGCGACAAGTGGTTTCGCAAAACGGCCAGCACATCTTCAAAACTCTTCAATGCCGGGTCCTCAGGCGCTACTAGAGTCTTGAGCAACTTATACGTGTCAGCTCCTATGAGGCTTATGACCACGTCAACTCGGTTTGCGTCCGCTACCCCGTTCGCTCTCAAAAAGGCTCGCAACCTTTCCTCGTAGGATAACCAATCACACTTCGTGTCATCAAAAGGTTCGACTTGCCCAAATAAGGCCATCGTGACTGCCTTCCGGTCCTCTGGTCCTTGATTCAAGATGCCAGATACTGGAACATCAGTTGAAAAGCCCTCAGTTGCTGAGTCGTCCGACGGTCTCTGCATCCCGTTGTAGCAGCGAAATCCGTGTCCTCATCGCCACTGTGTGGTATCTGGAGTAACAGGCCGATGGGGGTCTTCGCTGGCACATCTTTATTGCAGGACTACCGGAGTACGACACATAGTCACGGGCGTGAGAGAGCGGCAGGATCGCAGCGGGTGGTGCAAACGGTGCGCTGGCTCAGATAGATATGGCGCCCCGGAACAGTGGCGCGAGACGCACGAGCGCGCGCTAGCTGTTGCCCGCTTATTGTGTCACCCATACAACAGACACCAAGAAACCCGATCCCGAGATCCCTTCGCCGTGGCCAAAGCATCCATCAGCGTGGTGCCGACCAGGTCCGGGTTAGCCCAGCGATCGCCATTGGGAATTTCGGCGTCCGGAATCCAGGCTCCCGTTACCATCATCGAGAACTTGGTAACCACGATTCAGAACCCGGCAACTACATCCGCAACCCCTTGAGCATCTTCCGCCAACGGAAAAGACCGGAACTCAAGTGAATATTGCTTTGTGTACATATCCCTCGATTCGGTGTATCTTTATGTTCCTTTTTTATTAGACACCTTTTTCATTTTCTTCTCGAAACAAAGTGCCTGGATTCAATTGGGTCTGGTATTCTTTTTCTTTACATAAATGATTATTTGAACGAGCCTTGCGTACCTCGTGACATGGACAATGACACCGCAGGTTCTTTGTTCACTTCTCAACCTTCTTGTTTCGTACAAATAATAAATTGTTCGCCTTAAACAATTTACCCATCTAGCTCCACAAAGTCCGTAACGTAATACATGTATTTATTCGAGAATATTTCGTGAAATCTAAAGTAGACTACAGTTCAACAATTAGTACCCTCACACCCGACAAGGCTGCAGCTGCTAAAAAAAAGTGATTGATAAGTCATTTTCTATGAGATAATTGTCATAAACAAGAGTCATAAAGGGGTGTATCAACGCGCGTCATCCACGAGCGACACCCACCGAGCATTGCGCAATCCTGTTTCCCGGCTAAGTCTAGCGGCGAGATTGACGTCGTGACTTGACATCCCATGACCTCTACACCAATACGGCTTTCCCGTTAGGTCTAGTGGGAAAAGTACTGAAAGAGGGTGGAGAACGGAAAAAAAAAATATATGCTCGATAAACAAATAATGGCAATTACAAAAAAAAACTGTTTGTGGTTTGTTCACGGATTCTCTGCTCCCTTGTCTTTGTCAAAGGCTTGTATATATCCTTTTACTGTTAAAAAAAATAAAAGATAAGATCACGTGAGCGCAGTCAGTTCGTAGTCACTTTTAGAGTCCAGTTTTGAAGGTGATAAATTATGTAGGAACCTTCAAGGCCGACCTAAAGAACCGCCTTCCCAGTTTCCTTTTCTCCATTGCCTCTTCCACTCTTTTCTCAATCTCTCCCCGCAACCCCGCAGCAGTGGGTTTGTGAGTCACTTCTCGCAGAAAGGAGGAATATCCATAACTTTCTTGAATGAAAAGGACAAACTAATGAAGAATTTCCTCTTTTCTGGCTACTGGTCGGCCTTTAAGAAGAACCCTTTAACTTGCGCTAATGTCATGGCCAGTCAGTACCACGCAGAATAAATACTATACATCTTTTCATATCTTATCATCCAGATGAATAATGCAGTCACTACACTGTGAGTTTAATAGTGGTGTATGAGATTTGGATAAGAAAGACTATGGCGCATACTCGAAATGCTGATCACGTCCCAGTAAACACAGACGGCTGCTCGTAGAGGGCAAATAATAAAATATTCTATAAGAGCGACCGGGGTGATACCTGGAGGTGTGAGGTTGGGGATGGCACAATGAAAGTTTTAAGTGAGAAGCCTCCTCCCCACAAGGTCAGTGAGGAACATACGAGACGAGGGCTCTTAAATATGATGTTGCGACCAAAT